TATGTAGTAGAAGTGTTGATAGTCTTTCCTTTGCATTGTAAAGGCTTTGTTTTACCCTAATTGCCTAACAATGCTCAGTTTTGAGTGTTTAACATACATAAGATGGAAACAAAGTAATCTCAAGGCTATGTGTTTTTTAAATCTTCTCTTATTTCTAAGAATATACAAATTTTTTTCTAAAATGTGTATCAACATACCATTCTATCTTTCAACAAATAATTTAAGTACCCACTATGTGCAGGTATTATGCTAGGTACTAGGGATATGATGGTAAGATGTCCTACTGATGACAATGTATTTAAATTTTAAGAATAATGTCTTTATAAAATATATTTTTTTCAAAATTATTTCTGTGGGGTGTCATGGGAACAAAAATTTCAGACCCACAAAAAGAATGTGGAAAGCTGCAAAAAGCTGCTTAAAAAACTGAGAAGGTACAGCAATCAAAAAGATGTAGCAAATTATACCCTAAGCTGCAATTTACGAGAAGAACTGGTGGCTGTCTCAGAGAGAAAAGACATCTGTAATGCAGTGGGTAAGATTTTTTTCTTTAATCAACTGTCAGTTTCTTTAAAAGTGATCATAATTCCTAAAATCTGTACAGTGGTTATAAAGCTACCAGTATTTGTTCCATATGTTTAATTGATTCTGAGTGCTGTTTCTGTATTTAAAAGTATAGATAATAATCCAAATAATTCCTTCTTCTTCATTTCTGGGATAAGGGTCTACACTGACTTGTGAAAAGATTGCCAAAGAACGATATGAAAACATGATGCAACAGCAAAAGTTAACAAAAATTTCAAAAGAACAAGCTGAGCAGATTTCAATACTACAGGCTGAAGTTGAAAGATTAAGGATGAAAACATTTCCTGCTTTCGTTCAAATGTAAAACTGCTGGTGGGAAACATAAGACCAAATCAGTCATTTTAAAAATAATTTCATTTGGTTAAAATGATTTCTGTCTCTCTTATATAAGGAAATTTAAGTAGAGTCTCCTCTTAGTGGCATATTTTTAATAGCAAATTGATTGATTTTAGCCTTAGTCATTATAAAAATGTCCTGCATGAATAAATGTCTAAAATAACACGAATGATTTTTATTCAAGAATGAACACGATTTTAGCTCAGAATATATTCAAGATCTATTTTATTAAGTCTTAATTTGATCAAAAATTATTTTCACAGTAGTAATATAGAAAGTCTTAAAGACAAAAAATTATTTTTAGCCACTACTGGTATTTCTAATTTTATAAAATTACCAGAAATGTTATGAGATTATGAATGATTTTTATCTTTTATACTTTTCTGTATTTCCCATTTTCTTCAGTAAGCATTTCTCTATCATCAGAAAAAAATTAATAGAATGTTTAAGATGATTCCCTGTCCTACCAATGGGAACGAGGCGAATTGTTTACTTTTACCAAGCCCTAAATCACTTGTAAATTACAACATATTTTCTTCTACATAGACGTTCTACATAAACATGACATAATCTTCTATATTCATATGTATTTGCAACAGAACTTAATTTTGTGCCCCACATGATAGTTTAGTAAACAGAAAAAAAAAGCATTTTCTCATTTTGTGATATTGTGATTTATAATAAGAAATATATATATTTGGTCTCCAACACCATTCCTGGCACAGAGATCCTAAAACCCTCGGAATTTCCTAAGTGATGAGAGAGGTACAGGTGTCTTGTTATGTTAATGAGGTGACTTTTGGATTGCACCTAAGGATGGGGGCTGTCTGCCAGGAGAACCAACCCTGTGTCCCAACCTCCCATCCACCCACCCACCCTTACGCACACCCACCCCCCACCCCCACCTCTAGGAAGGGTAAACGGGCTGGAAGTTGAATTGATCACCGATGACCAATGATTTAGTCAATTGTGCCTATGTAATGAGGTCTCCATAAAAGCCCAGAAGGACAAGGTTTGGAGAGTGTACCCAGAGAGAGCAAGCAAGTCTGAGCTTTTCACCATAACTTGCCTTATGCATCTCTTCCATCCCGAGGTTCCTGAGTTAGATCCTTTTATAATAAAATGGTAATCTGATAAATAAAATGTTTCTCTGCGTTCTATGAACCACTCTAGCAAATTAACTGAACCCAAGGAAGGAGGGAGTCTTGGGAACCTCTGACTTATTGCCAGCCGGTCAGAAGCACAGGTAACAATCTGGTTTTTCAAATGGCATCTGAAGTGGAGGGCAGTCTTGTGGGACTGAGCCCTTAACTTGTAGAATCTGATGCTATCTCCAGATAGATGTGTCAGAATTGAGTTGAATTGTAGGACATCCAGATGGTGTTTTGAGAATTGCTTGGTGTGGAGAAACAGACACACACAAAGGAATTTGGTGATCAGAATTCTTACATTTCCATGAAATAGTTTATCACTTTATTCATGTAGATGATGATAAATAAGTAATGAGAAGATTAACTGCTCAGAAAACTGCTTTGCCTTTCCATAGCCTATGGACTGCTGCATTCCAAGGTAATACCATTGGGATCATGAACCACAATCTCCAAAGGGTGTCAACGTCTCAATGTTCTGGACTTTGTGAATTAAATGTTAAGTTTAATTAGTAACACCATATCCAATGTACACTGGTGTAGGTAAAGCAAGAGAGCAATTATAAAACATTCTATTTAGAAAAAAAAATTTAGAAGTTTTAAAACCTTCTATTTAGAAATTGCCAGGATAGTACCATAATTGATCACCTGTATAGTGATCAGTGGTGGGAATGGTAAGGAAAATAGAACCAACATCATTTTGACAGCTCCCCCCCCTTAGACCTAGAATGATTCCTGAAGTAGTCGATTTGGCTGATTAAGCAGGGTAGTGCCTATTGGTAACATTTCCATGTCACCTAAGTTAGCTACTGGAGCCTCCATTTGCTACTAAGGCAAGGCCACAAATTTCGCTGGACAGTGCTCCGTGGATTCCCAGGTCTTAACAGCCTGTTTCGTTTCTTAGTGTCTACCCTGAGTGATTCTGGCAATGCTCCTTGCTTGAATGCCTCAGCTTTGAGGCATAGAGTGGAGGTTAGCAAGAGCCTCTTGCCCCCAAGCTGTATTCTAGTAGCAGCACTTTCAACAAGAGGCATCTTCTGCTTTGGGGTTATTGGCAGGTGCTTTGGAAGGGCACATGGGTCATGGAACCCAGTCCTCTCTCTTGATATGTTTATGGTACTGATTCCTCTCAGCTTCTGCTGAACTAAGAGCAATTATATTTGTATTTTTATAGCCCTTTAAGATATTATCTATATTATCAAGTAGTAATATATATAATTAATTGGGTCAAACATAACATGGTTATGAGCTCTGTTGCTGGGTTGCTTGGGTTCAAATTCTGACTGTCACTAAATAACCACTTAATCTTAAAATTTCCTCATCTTTAAAACTGGGATGTTGATAATTGTAAAACTCAAATGAGTTAACATACTTTTAAAACTGGCACAAAGCAAGTGCTAAGTGTTAGCTTTCATTTTAATGAATAAAAATAATTCTTATTCAGTAGTTCTTAATAAATATATCCTATTAAATGGAGGTAAAATTCAATAGAAATTATTAAAAAGGGGACTGCTTCATGGGCACCCCTAGGCCCCAAACTCTCCCATAAGCCCCATCCATACTCCATGATCCACCTCCTCTTGTAGAAGTGCTCACTGAGCTGTTGGAGCCCTCAGCACCTAGCCAATGCCTTAGAAATCCCCATTGCTATACCACCAACTGCTCCCCAACTCTCCCAAAACCAGAGTCCCATTGATGCTGTAGTTCCCCCAAATGGACGTGTAAGGGTGACTCCAGGGGATGTGCTAGTCAGTAATGGGCAGCTGCAGTCAAATGCTGGCAACCATCACCAGGGAAACCACTTCTCCTGCCACATTTAGGACCTCTGGCTGAGCAGCAAGAAGCAGTGGAGGCTGGTCAGCACAGCTTCCCAGGGATGCCCATCTGGGAATCCCAGAGCCAGGGAAGGCCAGTCCTCTTGGGTTCACAGAAGCCAATGACAATGGCAGTGTCTAGAAGGCAAGAATTGAGGCTGGGGTGAGGGGTAGGTTACTGGCATGGGCATTAACAATTAGAATGCATGCAAGAGCAGGGTCTTGATATGCCAACATTAATAGTCTGTTGGATCACGGGGAAGGACTGGGCTGAGAGTAAGGAGCAGCTGGGGGCGGAGGGGGGAAGCGTAGGGTAGTGGCTGCTTACCAAGTAGTAGGGAAGTACTTTTCTTTTAAGATTGGGGGAAAAAAAACCCACAACTAAGTAAAGCTGTCTCAGCCCTTAAAAGGACCCAAGAGACTGGAAACCAGAACCAAGAAGCCACTGACCCACAAAGTTCTCTCTCCGTCATCTCTGCCTTCCTCTGTAAGGGCAGACTTAAGCACACCAGCTTTTCTGCTTTCAAGTTCACATACAACAGCTCCAGCCACAAAAAGAGATGGGCTTTCTTTTCTTGAGCTCAATTCCGAATTCTCAAGGACTGGGATGCTTGGGTCCATCTATGGCCAGGATGACAGATAACGGACAACATGGCAGCCAGAACCCCAACCCAGTGAAGGTGGGTTTCTGACTGAGGAGTCACTGTTAATGGAGTAGATACGCTAGCTTTTTACCTATTTCACAGATAAAACTAGAAAGGTAGATGAATGTAAAAGGCCCTGTATGCCGTGATGCCCTGAAGTGGGTGATGAGGACATGTGGTTTTGTAAGAAATAGATGATCGCTTCACTAACTGAGATGACGAATACAAGTAACAAATTTGAAGAGACAGAAACTAATTTAATTTTGAACATATGAGTTTACCTGCTAGACCATCCAGATGGAAATATGTGGTAAATGGGTGGAAACAAAGGAGAGGCATAAACTTAGGAGAGGCAGGCATTTTCAGACAAGTTTCGGTTTAGACATTCACTAGATGGACTGTTTTTTCACATTTAAAATAAAACTTTTACCACAATAAATAGAACAATGTATTAAAACTCACTTCCACAGTTGTCCAAATTATTTTTTTAATCATGATTTAATTTTAAAAAAATTTTTTCACCTTTCTTTAACTGTCAAGTTTTCTTTGGCAAATTTATTCAAAACACTAAATTTTCATTTTAGAACCTAGTTTATACTTATATAACAAAGGCCCTAAATTGATCCAGGTTCACCAGGATACCTTTCTCTAAGCCCTAATGGTTTACATCTTCCTTTTAAAATGTATAAATATCTTTTAATTACATTGTCATCCACAAAGACATTCTGGAGAAAAAAATTATGAATTAAACACCTATAAATTCTTCTTCATTTCTGTTATAGTGTAGCAATTTATCATCTAACCCATAGTGGTCTATCAGCTGAGTAAGGCTTAGTTTCTTGTTCTCCTCAGACATAGCTGACTGCAGCTCATAAAGCAACAGCTGGCTACAGCTTCTCCACTTCTTTATTAACATCTGTAACTGAGACAGGTCATTCTGAAACAGAAAAAAAAAAAAAGACATAAATGTGTGTCAGTAACTAGATAGCCATCCTAACTTACTTAATGAAAGTTGTCAAATCAGTTGATGAGTAGTAGGTTTAAAGGGTAACACATTTGGACATAAATGGGACTTCTACCCAGGAAAAAAGTAGGATGGTTTTAAGTAACTATCACTCAAATTGAGTTCTATGGCTGTTTTGTTTGGTAGAAGCTCTGGGCTATCCTTACCCTCAGGGAAAAATTGAATCATTAAATAGGGCAAAACTATGTAAAGAAGCAACAATATGGGTTAAAAAAAACAATCTACTTTTTCTACCACAGCTGTACTTTAAAAAATGATATTTAAATTAATATTTTTCAATGTCACTATCTCATAAAACTCAAGTAGTTATATTTAGAGAAGTCCTAAAAATTCAAGAGAGCAAATAAGATACAGTATTCCATCATTTATGACACATTGCTGGGGAAGAAGGCGCAATTGCAATATACATGAATGATCCAGGTAAGTGAGGGTCATCTTCTTCCAAGTGCCCAAATTCTATTTTCTTCAACCTTATCTGGGTTGAAATCTAAAATCTAATATATATTTGTTGTTTTCTTAAAGAAAATGCTCGGAATATTTTAATAATTTGTTACACATAATTGAATAACAAAAGATCATTACTAAAATTACTTTTCATTGTACTCTGTGGTCCATTTTTAGCTTTTTTTCTCATTCACTGTCACTGTTGCTTCTGTTCTCATTGCCACTTGCAGCTAACATTTGAAGCTTCTAATACTGCTGTGGGCTGGAAACTAGATAGAAAGCTTCAACTGCATATGAAATAAGGGCTGGGACTTTTAAAAGTTATACCTGGTGTTTAGAGGCCTCTTCTGCTCTACTCTAAATCTATGACATATTTGAGTTAAAGCTGTTGGAAGCCAGGTTTCTGGATACTTGGCTTACTTCTTATTATGCTAAAATAAACTTTTCTTTTTGAAATACTTTCCTACCATTTATCTAAAAATAAAAAAATTAATTAGGCAATGGTTCTGAAATTCTTCTTACCTTTGATCTATACATTTTGACTAGTTTTAGCCTCCGAAGAAGTTCTTCTTTCTCCTGAATCTGCTTCACCAATTTTGCTTTTTCTTTGTTTAATCCATGTTTGGGAAGATTCTCACTCATAAAGTCATTCTGGAGATCACTGCATGACTCAGAATCAAGTGATTTAGATGCACATGCATTGATATTCTTGAAGGTATTTTTCAAATATGTACTTTCTTCAAATTCACTGTCTATGTGTTTAAAATTTTCTTGAAATTCCAAACAGTTTTGTTCTGTTGAAGGTGCTGGTTTCTCTGAAAAGGTCTGATCATTTTCTTCACTCTCTACTTTAAGTCGTTTTACCACACCATAACAAGAATTAAATGAAGATCTAGTTTTCCTTAATCGTTCCCTAAGGGTTGCACTCATAGGCTGAAAAAGGCATCAAACGTTAATAATGTTAATCAAGACTTGATATAAATAAATCTACTAGAAATCAAGACCTTACGTTTCTGTGGCAGACACCACTAGATGACTTTCTGTCTCCATATATCTAAAGTAACCATCACAAAATATCTTTAGTTCCTGTAAGCGCCACTAAGTTTTAACCCCTTTTTATATTAGCAGAGCCGGCACCCTTCTAAAACAGTGCTGAAACACTTATCTCAGTAATCACAAACATTTGTTCAGCAATTGTCCCAAGCCTGACATGGTTAGGTGCTTCAGAGTTACAAATTAAGGAAACGACCTAGATCTTTCCCCCAAAGACCTTCACGATGTCAGATTCAAACTTCCTGTTTGGAATGCTGTAAAAACTTGAACTGAAACTAAATGAAAATAATTGGGTCAAGATGAAAATTTGAGGGGAAGGTCCAATACATTATCTAAGGGTTAAGACCTAAAATTATGTTAATAAAATTTTTACTTACTAATTTACACATTACGTTAACTGACAATGTTCAGTAGACTTGAAACTACCATTGCCACAATACTTAGAAATATAGACTAGATCCACTGAAAGAGCTAAGATTTTCATACTTGTTTTCTTGAACTGCTTGTACGAGGAGACGGTGGATTGGCACCAGCCTGTGGAGTGCTAGGTAACACCACAGCTGAGGCTGATGGACTTTCCATCTTGAAATCTTGCTTTACTTCTAAAAAACAAAAAATAATCACAAAACGGAAATCAAATTAACCCACACCTCTATATATTCCTTAATTTTTATCAAAGAATTTTTTATTGTTTTACATAACATCACCAAGTAAGCCAGCCAACTTCCTTCTTTCACTTAGTTGTGATTCATTCTTGCTTTTTTTTTTTTTCAGTTTTCCATTTACTTTCCTAAATCGGATTGTGTTGCTCATTATGGTGACTACTAGTTTTTTTCATGACAAGTTAACTAGCTAGCATCCCATATGAACAACTCCACATTTGTTTTTATTGATGGATAAAATCTGACAAAAATCCTCAAAATCTGCCATATTCGGGGGGATGAGTTGGAAAACAACTTTGGATAGTCAGGATTTCTTTCATTTCATTACACCAGCTTCACAATGAAAGGAAATGTAACTGAAATCTTGACTCAAAAAAAACATAGACCTGTCACGCTACCCTAAATCCTAAAGGCTGTGTGCCTAAAACAAATGACCCTCCAGGCCTGAGGAACAAGGAGCCCAAGCACAGGTAAACTTCCTCCTGTCTGCATCGTTTTCGATTAAGCAGCTAAGAGACCCTGAAAAGGAGAGACTGAAGTTTGCTTCTCAAACAAAGGCCATGAAACTTTACCGGGAAAAATACCACAGGGAGTCCTCCCTCCCCTCCCGCCACTACAGCAAGCCCTCGAGAGACCCCAGGCCTGAGGTGGAGCTGAGAGGTTCCCTGACCAGGGAAAGGGAGCGCAACTCGACTCCCCACCCAATCCCCGAAGAAGTCCAGTTCTCAGACGCCCACTCTATGCCCAGCACGCTACCTCTCTCCGCCATCCCCGGAGAGCGCAGAGAACTAACCCAGCGGCTGCCTGCAGCCGGGAGTCTGAGAGGCGGGGCCGCCCGGGAGGCGGAAGAGACTCGCGATTGGCCAGATTGACTGACGCGCGCAGCTCCACTCAGCCCCGCGCCCGGAGCGGCGGGACTGCGCGCGCGCGCGGCCGCGAGCCTCCGCAAGGGAGCGGGGCGAGGCCGCGCGGGAGGAGCCGAAAAGCGTGATTGGCCAGGTTGACCGAGGCGCGTAGCTCTGCTCCGCCCAGCGCCCGAGAGCTGTGGGACTCCGCGCGTGCGCGCGCGCGCGCGCGGCCGCAATCCTTCGCCACGGTCGGGCGCTCTCCGAAATGAGCTTAAAACGAGTAACCGATTCCGGGAGGGGCGCGCTTTTATTCACGGCTTCCCCTCCCTCCTTTCTCCTTGCTTCGACTTCCCTTCCTGCTTCCTAGTTTTTGTGTGTTTGTGAAGGACGCCTGAAAATGCCCCTCCCGTTCTCCTGGCTCCCGTCAATCCCTTCTCCGCGCTCCCCCCAGCAAAGGCCTTTCCTCAGACTCCCCGGGACCCAGAGCCGCGCGGCGGGCTGTGTGTTAAATTTACAGCTTGTGAACTCCAAAGGCAGAGACCACGAAAGAGCAGCGCGGGGTTCAATGGCTTGTTGACAGTCAAACACGTTAGCAGTCCCTCCGAGAGCCCCGGCGGATGCAGTTGAGCTCTTTTGTAGCCTTCGTTGCTGCAAACTCTGCGGTCCCGCCACGGGTTTTCTGCCGGATCTACCTCAAAAGTTAGATTTCTTAGTTTGGCTTCGAATCTTGTCAAATCTGAGAGAAAATGTAGCCCAAGGAAATCTGTTATGGTGCAACACAGGAAGCAGAACAATCACTTAATAAGATTGGGTTGGTCCAGAATTGGGGTGATTGAGGCAGATAGGGCCCTGGCTGAATACTGGGCAGCGGCATCCTCAGTCTAAAATAATCCTCCTCGTTTCCTGTGTGGTGATGTTTTGTTGCTGTATAGCAACAAAGTTAACTAAGTTGGAGCCCTGGGTTTAGGAAAAGACAGTTGAGTAATTTCTGAGTCGCGTGGAAGTTGGGAATTTTAACGGGCCAGTGTTTCGAATCCCAGTGAATGGCCATTTTAAACGTTGAGCCTGTCTTTTTACTAACATCTGATAGTAATGGCTTAGAGGTAGCTAGGATCCAGAAGGAATTCACTGAGTGCTAAACAGTGGGATGTAAATATAGAACCTGAAGACAACCTAATACAGTGATTAAGGACATCAATGTTGGAGTCAAATTGCCTAGGTTCAAATCCCAGCACCATCATTTTGTGTGCTTTGTAAGGTAGTGTCGCTGTGCCTCGGTTTCCTCATCAATAAAGTGGGGATAATATTATCAACCTCCTAGGGTTTGGAGAATTAAATGAGCATTCATGACAGGCAGTGAAAAGCAGCAGTAGGTATCTAAGAAGCACTCGATAGTTATGCTAGAGATGCAACTATATTCACCATTCCCTAATTGATCTAAAGGAATGCATCATATAATCCTTTCACCCCTTCACTTACCTCCCCAAAAAAGGCCACAGATTTTTTTAAAAGATGCTGTGGTGTGTAGGACACCTCACCACGTAAGCCATAAATAGCAGAAGACTTGGAGCTTCCACATATAATTGATAATATATTCTGATCCTTCTAAATTTTTCAAAAAGTATGTAAATTAATCTCAAGGAATTTACAAAATGAGAGAACTCATGATTTTGTGATACAGGTGTTATTCACCTCAGCAAGCCACAGGTCCCAGTCTGTACATTTATTTCTCCCTTTACTCATCCATTGGCATCAGTTACACTGAAAAAAAGCGGAGTGATTTGTCCTGAAGCATAATGCACACTCTGCATATTCTTTACACTTTGGGTTGGGTTGTTTTTATGATTCCCTAAAATAAGCTGCTCCAAAAGCCTTTTATCATTATAACCTAAGCTTAGAGCTGTGTTTTTGCTGGCTCCATAAAGGAAAACAACATCTTGCCTAGCAAAAGTTCTGACTTGCTTATTATGTGAACTGGTATATTATAAGGGATTGTTTTAGCCAGATTTTCAGAGAACTTCAGAACATGTACTCAGAAGAACCTGTATTTCAGAAATGTGCATTTGTTGACCTACATCTCAGACTTTCACGTGTTGTTAGAATTGAATGATTTTCCCAAATACAAGTTTGCATTTTACTTACTCCCATTGTGTACCAAAATGGAAACATACCTTTCACTCTCAATTTAGTGTAAGGGATCTGGAATATAGCCCCTATAGTTTTCATTGTACCTTTAGATAAAGCCTAGCAACCATTTCCATGTCTTTAGGAACTTGAAATCTACTGGCCTATTAGGAGTTTGTTGTTTCTGACACATGACATTGTATGTTTCATCTGAAACTTTTTTTAAATGTGTTTATTTTATTTTTGGCTGCGTTGGGTCTTCGTTGCTGCGCGCAGGCTTTCTCTAGTTGCGGCGAGCAGGGGCTACTCTTCGTTGCGGTGCGCGGGCTTCTCATTGCAGTGGCTTCTCTTGTTGCGGAGCACATGCTCTAGGCGCGCGGGCTTCAGTATTGTGGCACGTGGGCTCTAGAGCGCAGGCTCAGTAGTTGTGGCACACGGGCTTAGTTGCTCCACGGCATGTGGCATCTTCCTGGACCACGGCTCGAACCCGTGTCCCCTGCACTGGCAGGCAGATTCTCAACGATTGTGCCACCAGGTAAGCCCCCATATGAAACTTTTCAGGCAGGGGAAAGTACTGCCCCAGAGAACCAGAAGGCAAGGACTCTTTACTCCACCATAGAGAATAATTTGGGCAATAGAATTCAACGATAATAGTAATTAATACTAACCTAAGGCAGGCTTTCTCTGTTTTTAACTTTCTTCAGTACACAAGGCTACTATTCACCACTTTGTTATTCACCAGGGTGTGGTAAAATGCTCTTCCGTTCATTCTTGTCTGTGATTATTGTTGGTGGGGTAATGACGTAAACCTAATAACCTTTATGAGGGTTTTTTCTTTTTTAATAGCAAGAAGGGAATAGTGAATAGTGTCTCTCTCCCTAACTCTCTCTCTGCCCCTCTCTCCATACAACCAAGCATACACACAGGCGCACGCTTTCAAGCCACAATTTAAAATTTTATGGCAGTAATTTTTGTGAAAATTCTTAGCTTTAGCATTACTTTAAAAATCTTAACAGTAATCTCAGGATGACCTAAACTCCATTCCATTGACTTTTCTGTATTGATAGGTAGTATCCGTAGCTATTTTTAAAGCAATTTAAAATATACATACACACTTTTAAAACTGGAATTAAAATCCACTTGGGTGAAGAAGAGCTATATAAAATCCACATGATTAAGTTGATTATAAAGTCCATCAGGACAAGTTAAACTAAATCTATAACACTCACAAGAAAGTCTACTACATTCTCTCAACTGGCTTTCAATATTTCTAATGACACTGATATGTAAGTTGAAAATCACCTTCAAAAACTCTTCTCTACGTTTCTCTTGCCATGAATTCAAATTTCATCCTATAGACCTATCCATGGTGAAGAAGATGTAGTTTTAGTCTCTGTCATCTCATAAATTTCCCTTTGAATAACTGACAAACTCATTCTGTTTTTTTCTCTATTACCTAAATATTTCATATGGAATTCTACAGTGTAATTGGCTCACTTGTAAAGACTGTGGAAGACTTTGTTATCAAAAAGTGACCTTTGAGGGTAAACTGTTTAATATTTTTAGTCAAGTTAAACAAGAAAGGATTTTATTTTCAACTTCAAGGTGAAAGAGCCCTTGACTTAGCTATTAGGCATACCTGTGAGGTTGCCTCACTGAGCAGGATGGCTACTTCGAGCCTGGAGATAAGGGGAGGGTCAATGATGAAAACCTGTTCACCACCAGGCAACCAGAAAGTTGATCTGGGAACTAATATTGAGGGTAATATACTGAACAAGAACCTAAAGAACTCCTTTCACCTGAGTTCCTATCCTTTTATTCTATTAGACCTGGCATTTCATCAAGTCCATTAGAGACTAGAGAAGTAAGAGTATCTATGATTCACTGCTATTAGTGGGGTGTGTTCTCTTGGAGAAGAATAGAGTGATTCAGGTCAGATTAATAACGCAGTGAGGAAGGCGGTAGGATGTGGGTGAGTGGGAGGGTCATGGCAGAAGAGTTAGATGGTGGGAAAGTAATGGTAATAAAAGTATTGCTCAAGGCCACATCTTTCTCAGATCCTTTATTAACTCAGAAATGTCATTTGGAGAAAAAAGGCAATAGATGTCAGCAAACCCTTAAGCAACAGAACATGTCTTATAATCATCTTTAACAACCTGAAGTTTGAGAGGTAGCAACTCCCAAGATAATTTCACAGTGTTGAAACCTTTTTGAAGTGCTAGCAAGAAGTCAGTTCAGTGCTCTAGCCTCACGTCTCATTACTGTTTTGGTCTTGAGAATATAAAAGGTTTCTTTTTGGTGATGCTTTTTTAAAATGGGGGAGTAAGAGTGTCTATTAGTACCAATAAAATAAGGAGTTAAGATACCATTCTACCGTATTCTAGGACACTACTGATCTTTTGGCTTCTGCTCTTCCACACCTTGGCAAAGTTTGATGATAAGAACAGTAGTAGAGTGGATCTGTGCATTAGCCTATAGCCAGGAATTTTCTGGCCCAGTTCAGGATCTAAGAGCTAGACTGAAACTTAATCCCTTCCCACCACTCCCAAAGGCAACATAAAATGTTTTCATCAGGGACCTTTATGAGCAGTACCAAACCCACTGAATGCTAGAACCCCTGACCAAGAGGTCTGACCCCCCCGGGGAGGATCCCTTGCAGAGGCATGGTCAGAGGTGGGGAAGGCGGCTTGAGCAAAGGTACCTCTTCCTTGATCCTCTCCCTTTCCATCTCCAAGATCATGCCTAGTGCCCATTAACCCCACACTGTGTCTAAATTACACCACTAGTCAGTGATATCA